TGGAAGTGACTACTGATGGATTGAATATGTATTTTAAAAATATGTTGTCACTTGTTTTAAATAAGAATTTCAAATAAATATTGTGCATTTCTGAAATTATTCCAAAATTTCTTCTGTTCCTGTCAACATACCTCTGTGAGACTGATTTTTCTACTACGGTTACTGTTAAAATAAAACATAGAAACAGTTTAGAAATGCATTATCCTCTGCAAGTAGCACTACCATCAATCCAAGTTAGAGTAAACAAATTAATAAGCAAGAAGCAAGTTTATTTAAATAGTGGAAATTTAAAGAGTGATGTGTACAATGTTCATTTCAAATGAGTATTATAAACTTATAAGGCAGGGAATCATTATTTCCTTTGTAATTTTTGTTTAGCTACAGTTTTGGAAGAGCCAAAAGCTATGTGTAATAGTGATTATGTTAGTTGTGGATTATTGTCAGATTTTGTACCTGAGATATAACTTAAATAACTGGAATGTGATAGTACACTTCCAAAAAATAAAATAGCATGCCACTATTAAGAATTATTATTATTTTTATTGATATTAAAAGCTATTTATAGGACATTAAGCTACTTGATTTTACTAAATCACATACATGTGCATACAAAAGTTTATAAATCAAAATGAAAATACTATTATTAATTATGTCTGTGTAGTGAGATTGAGTGCTTTTACTCTTCTTTTTTTATTATCTGCATTTTCCAATTTTGTTCATCTAATTTAATAGGCATTAAAATGCAATATGATATTGCAATGATTAAGTATCAGAAAGCTGGAGAAAATAAATACTAAAGTGTTTGGGAAGGTCAGAATAGGATTCCCCATAAAAATGAGAGAAAGATGTAAAACAGCATATTATAAAATTTACAAATTCACCTACATCACTTGAGATAAAAGGACTTTGGAACTACAAAAAGATACAAGACAAATTGATTTGAAGCACGGACATAAAAGCTACCTATAAAATCCAGGTAAATATCCGGTACTGGCAACACAGGTTGGAGCAGAGAAAGAGAAAACACAGAGGTGCCAAAGGAACAAAGTAAGTCCAATGAAAACTCTTTGCCTATCTCTCCCCGAAATCAGTGGGCACAAAGTGGGGCTGATCTACCTGTGTGGGTTCCATTTTCTCAATTGGAGAGATGAAGACAATTTCTCGACTCTATGTTGAGGCCAATTGAAAAATGAGGGAAAATAAAACCATTAATGAAACAAGAAAGAAACAAAACAGGAGAGGAATGAAAAAGTAAGTTGATCGCTATAAAAGAACTAAAAGGGACTGCAAAATGGAAAAAAAAAAAAAAAAAGCTAATGCTGGCTGAGAATGGTGGCTCATGCCTGTAATCCTAGCACTGTGGGAGGCCGAGGCAGGAGGATCACCTGAGGTCAGGAGTTCGAGACCAGTCTGGCCAACATGGTGAAACCCTGTCTCCACTAAAAATACAAAAATTAGCCAGACATGGTGGCAAGCACCTGTAATCCCAGCCACTCAGGAGGCTGAGACAGGAGAATCAAATAAATCTGGGAGGCGGAGGTTGCAGTGAGCCGAGATCGCTTCATTGCACTCCAGCCTGGGCAACAAAAGTGAAACTCCATCTCAAAAAAAAAAAAGCTAATGCCACTAATGCTAAGAAAGGTGAACAGTAGGTTCAACTGTATGCCATTCCATGAACATCGACCAAAAAGGACAAAGCCAAGATCCAATGGGCACTTGATGATTACTATATGGCTACCACAGGACAACACAGAACACAGAAGAAATACTGGAGGTTTTGTAACACATTTTAATTAAGGTACTTCTTTCTGACAAGAAGACAATTAAAATTAAAATAGGTGGGGAAAAAACACTCATTTTCACCAGGTCGGCATTTTGTGAAAGGTGATATAAGCATATACCTGTGGATATACTGGGTGATTTTGTGGAAATGATTTGGTTTTATGTTTGGCTTTATGCTATAAAGTACTCTTGAAAATAATAATCATCTTCTCTCTGCTAAAAGTGAAGTTAGCATGAAAACGACATAAAAAGAAACTGTTAAAAAAGTAAAATTGGCTGGGTGCAGTGGCTCACTCCTGTAATGCCAGCACTTTGGGAGGCCAAGGCGGGTGGATCACGAGGTCAAGAGATCGAGACCATCTGGGCCAACATGGTAAAGCCCGTCTCTACTAAAAATACAAAAATTAGCCTGGTGTGGTGGCATGTGCCTGTAGTCCCAGCTACTCAGAAGGCTGAGGCAGGAGAATCACTTGAATCCGGGAGGTGAAGGTTGCAGTGAGCTGAGATCACACCACTGCATGCCAGCCTGGGCGACAAAGTGAGACTCTGTCTCAAAAAAGAAGCAGCAGAAGGAGGAGAAAGAGAAGAACAAAGTAAAATTTTTCCCATGTTTATTTGAAATAATCTAATCACAGAGGAAATTGGTGAGGTTTTTTTCTAATTACTTTAGTCTTTACTTTTTATCTCCTCAGAGCTCCTATATTTTTATGTTTCTTGTTCTTAAAAATAATTGCAGTTGTTCTAATTTTTATTTTTAAAAAAAGGACAACTGATGGTAAATATCTTATCAACTATTGAGAAAAATCCTACTAAGTTAATAGGTAGAATCTATGAAAAGAATCTATTTATTAGTTTCCCTTCTCATGTATCATTTACAGAATTATCTTCATTTCAATTGAACAATTAAAGAATCTGAACTGGCTCAGTCTTTAATTCTTTTTATAAAACCAGAACTTGACTTAGTAAAAATGTATTCTGAGAGTAGTCATAATAACTATAGACCTAGCCATGAATAATCTGAGCTCTATATGAAACTTATAGCTCTTAGTACAGAAACTAAATTCTAAGTCTAGAAACTAAATAGCAGATATGAAAGGAAAACTGTTGTTAAATAAATGAAAAGTATGGAATTTTCCTCATAAAATTTCTTGAGACAAAAAAAAAAAGGCAACGATTGACAGCAAAGGAGAATGTAATGAAATCATATACATGTAGAAACGTGGACAATTGTTTAATTGTGCACTTTTTAAAAGTTCAAAAAAATTCTTGTTCTGGTTAATTACTGTACTCTGAGTACCCCTCTCCTATTTCCTTGCTTTTGACATTGACCCTGTTCAGTTTCCTTTATAAACTTTTCCTATGGCTACATCTACTGCCTAAAACAAGATAGAATACCTTCGGATCTAATAATAATATAATAACTACTTTTCATTAAGCTCTTGCCTTGTGTCAGGCACTGTTCCAGTTTTGCATAAATTAGGCTAATTTGATCCTTACATTAGCCCCTTTATATTGCATCATCTGTCATTTTACAGTCGAGACATAGGAGCTAACAGGGAAGAAAGTTGCTTAAAGCCCCAGACTTAGTGAAGTAGCAGATTGAGGATTAGAAAAGAGGGCTTGGGCAATATTTGGCCACAGAAACCAGATCCATGGGGTGTATAACCTCACATTCTCAGATGCTATTGAGAGTTACATGGAGTAACTCCAAGAATCACAATTACAGAGTTGTTTATTTTTCCTTGTTCAAAATAAACTTTTGTGTGCTAAAATGTGTTTCCATTTTGAAAAAACAATCCCTTTGTAATCAGATATTTCAGAATGGTGGTTTCTTCCTTTTTGTTGAGTTTTCAACCATTTTCAGTTGTATGTAGCCTCGGAGAGTAAGGTATGAGTGCAAGTTCTGGATTCAATTCTGGTCATTGTGAAGTAGGGATAATATTAGTAGAGTACCTACCTCATGGGGTTCTGTAAAGTGTACAGACATAGTGTATCATGCACTTAACACAGCAATAATAATAAAGCCAATCCCTCTGGTTGTAACAGGCACAATTCTGCATACTTTGCAGAGGATAATTCTTTAATACTCAAAGTGACTCTCTAAGAAAGGTAGACTTATAAGCTCTATTTTACAGGCAGAAAACAAAGTCAAAGAGAGGTTAACAAACTTGTCAAAGACCACAAAGGTGCTGTGAGATTCCAAGTTCATGTTCCTAAACATGGCATTATACAGACCCTACTCTGCCTACTATAAGTGTTTAATACATGTTAGCTCTCTAGACAGCTCACCTAAGGCTTGATAAAGAGAAGCCTTACTAACTTAATTGCTTACTCATCAATCGCTAAGAAGTTAATCTGGTTTATAAACGCCTTTTCTTTCATGGCATCAGAAGACAGAAGTTTTGTTGTTGGGTAGTTGCAGGAGCAGAGTCAATACCCTGTCATCAAGGCTGGCCTGGAAAACATGCTTCAAGTGTCCAGAGTGATGCTGTATGGATGACTGGGGGCAGGGGGAGGGATTCTTAGTCAACAGACAAGAATCCCATCTTGGAGTCCTAACTCTGTCACACATTTTCTATGTAACCTTGAGCATGTCACTTAGCTTGATTCAGATTTAATGTCTCATCTGTAGATGAAGGGGAATGAGACAGGATAAATGGACAGAGTATTTCCTACCCTAAAATTGCTGGATTCTACAACCACAGGGTCTGAATATGTCCCTGTTAGATACCAGTGATATATTATGCCAATAGATTATTCATAGTATTCATACTTCATACCAAGAATGAGATATTCATTGCTCTAACTTTCTTGACA